CCAAGCTCTGAAAGATAAGAGCCTGTGCTCTAAAATATGTAACTGTCTGGAAATTGAAAAAATCCCAGAGCAAAAGAATCACCATTCCTGGGACACACCTCCAGATTGGGAGGGGAGAGCACACTCCCGGCATTTGTCAGCCAACTGCTCCACTGATTAACTATCGGTGGGAAAACTCAGCAGCAGAAAGCAAAGGGGAGGAATCAGAACCCCCTCCATACATTTCTTCGCATGACAGGCCAAATTTGAGCACCCACAGAGATAATAAAGGAGCACCACAGGGATTAATTGCCCCAGGGGAGCAAGTACAGCGTATGGCTCCAATCAAAACACAGTTAAGGAGGTTCAGAAACGTTAATGCGGAGGCTGAACCAGTAAGGGGACTTAGAACCGAAACAACTGAAATTTACCGTTCCTTCACCCCCCCAGGCAAAACAGGCACTACTGTCTGATTTACCCAAACTCAAGCGTGATAACAAGAATACTGGGTTCTGGGACGAGCTAGATGGCCTGATTGAAATACATGGCCTCCATAGGAAGGACGTTCACATCCTTGTCAAGTGCCCCAGGGATATGTGGGAGAACCTAGATAATAAATGGAAGACAGGGCGCTGGGCTGAAGATCATACCCCCAACCCAGCAGGAGGGGATCAGGCTGAAGAACCAGCAGGAATCCCAAACCCAGAGGCAGGCACTGTAACAGAATTCAGGAATGCACTGTTAGTGGTCTGGACTCCTAGAACAACGGGGGGGCTCTGCAGTCTGTGGTTCAGCAGAAGGGGGAGTCTGCCATGTCCTATGCTGAAAAGAAATGGAATGCATTCCAAGTTTGTTCAGGTCTGGAGACTATAACATCCCGAGACCATGATGTATTCCTTCAAATCCTAAAGGAAGGGCTGTCTGCAGATCACCAAGCAGTACTGGTATTAGGCATCTCAGTGGGAGAAACATACTCATTGGTAATGAAATGGGCCACAGAAGTAAAAAACAGAAAAAAGAGGAAGGTAGCAGCAACCACACCCTCTGAGGAGATTGTAGCGGTGCATGCAGTTAAAACCACTACCTGCTTCAAGTGCAATAAGCCTGGACATCTAGCATGTGACTTGTGACAAAGTTCCTCTTCTATCTTGGTGGGTCCTGTGCTTATTGGTGGATTTTCTTGCCTCAGAGATTCACCATGTGGATTGGGGGAACAGCCCAGAGACCTTCCCCTCTGGAAGAACCCACAGTCCAGGTCAATTGGGAGGTTTGGGGGGAAGCCGGGCCCACCTCTACTCCAGGTTCCAGCCCAGGGCCCTGTGGACTGCAGCTGTCTATAGTGCCTCCTGTAACAGCTGCATGAAGCTACAACTCCCTGGGCTACTTCCCCATGGCCTTCTCCCAACACCTTCTTTATTCTTACCACAGAACCTTCCTCCTGGTGTCTGATAATGCTTGTACACCTCAGTCCTCCAGCAACACACCATCTCAGCTCCTCACACTCACACCACAAACTGAACTGAGCTCCTTTTTAAAACCCAGGTGCCCTGATTAGCCTGCCTTAATTGATTCTAGCACCTTCTTCTTAACAGGCTTCTAATTAGCCTGTCTGCCTTAACTGGTTCTAGCAGGTTCCTGATTCCTCTAGTGCAGCCCCTGCTCTGGTCACTCAGGGAACAGAAAACTACTCATCCAGTGACCAATATATTTGCCCTCTACCAGACTCCTGTACCCCACTGGTCTGGGTCTGTCACAGACTGTAAAAATAAAATAAAAATATGCAGTAATTGTAAAAGGAGCTTGGGGGAGTAATCAACCCCAGAGCTAGCTGCATTGAATGTGCCAGACGGTCCAAACAGGAAAGATCATCTCAAAATATAGCCATGATTGCCAGTAATAGTGTAATAATACCGGGGGGGCGGGAACGTCCAGTAGAAACACTGTGTTCCCTTCACCCTGAAATGTGGGCAACAGATAAACAAGATTGTGGGCTAGTAAACATGAAGCCTATATCTGTAGACCAACTCACAAAGCCCACAGGCAGTACCCAATTAAACCGGAAGCCTTAGAGGCAGTTAAAGATATAGTCACTAATTTGGAATCTAGAGGGGTAATTAGAAAAACCACCTCCATGACTAACTCCCCAATTTGGTCCATCAGGAAGCCAGACGGGACCTGGAGGTTAACTATAGACTACACCCACCTTAACTGGGTGACTCCAAAGGCACATCCTATTGTGGCAAGCCCTGCCACTATTCTTAATTTGCTAACACCAGGACCCTCCCTATTTTCAGTCCTTGATGTAGCTAGTGGATTTTGGAGTATTCCCCTTGCAAAAGAGAGTCAGGAGAAATTTGCATTTACAGTAGGAGACTAGCAGTACACTTGGACCCAAATACCTCAGGGGTTCCATAATTCTCCCTCCATATTCCACAGGGCAATGGCAGAAGTAATAGCACTAGTGCCTTTGGAAGGGGATACTGTGATACTGCAGTATGTAGATGATTTGCTAATTGCCAGTGCAAATGAAATGGACCATTTAAAAACCCTAAACAGACTGTTCATATATCTTCGCGAGGCAGGATTTAAATTAAACCGGAAGAAAGCTCAATTGCAACAGCAGCAGGTTTTATACCTAGGGCATAACATCTCCAAGGGAGAAAAAGCACTCACAGTAGACAGAAAGCAAGGATTAGAGAGTTAAAAAAACCAGGGACAGTTAAGGAAGTCCGGAAGGTCCTGGGACTCCTTAATTTCTGTAGAACCTATATACCGGAGTACTCAGAGATGGTGGAACCAATTCAAAACCTCACTAGAGGGGGAAAGCCTGCAAATGAGTTAGTAATGTGGGGCACAGAACAAGAGGAGGCATTTATAAAAATAAAACGGGCTTTAGCCTCCGCCCCCAGCCTGGGCTTACCTGATATGGGAAAGCCGTTCCACCTTTACTGCAGCCATAGCGGGACCCAGTACTCAGCTGTACTAACCCAACTTCACGGAGACAGACAGCATCTGGTAGCATACCTATCTACCATAAGACCCCCTGTATCTCAGGAATTACCGGAGTGCGTAGCAGCTCTAGATTGTGCTACGTGGGCTGTGAAAGATTGTGAATCATACACTCTCATGGGGAAATTAGTGCTCCATACACCCCATACACTTATTGATCTCCTTAACACCGGGCAACTAAGATCTGTAACAGATGCCCGCAGGAGTCAGCGGGAATCAACATTGTGCTTGCAAAACCCTAACTTCTCCATAGTAAGAGACAAGGAAATAAATGTAGCCGAATGTCTGAACATAGAGGGAGAGGTACACGAATGTCTTATAGATAGAGAAGAGGAAGTGTTGGGAAGAATTAAAGAAGAGCCATTAGAGAATCCAGATATAGTTTTGTATGTACATGGATCAAGAAAGTATGAAAATGGAGTGCCACACACCGGATGGGCAGTGGTACTCAGTGATAGGACAGTGATAGCATCAGGTCAGATGGAAGGATCAAAGTCAGCACAAGAAGTGGAGCAAACAGCCCTCACAGAAGCTTTGAGAGTGGAGGAAGGCTAGAAGCTCACTGTATACAAACAGCAAATATGCATTTAGAGTAGTGCATGACTACATGGATGGGTGATCACGCAGAGGTTTTATAACAACAACTGGCAAGCCAATTAATATGGAAGCAGTTCAAAGACTAACAAAAGATGCTAAACTACCATCAGAACTAATAGTAGTAAAGATAAAAGCACACAATAAGATCTCAAGTGAGGAACAAAAAGGAAATTATTGGGCAGATAAACGTGCCAAAGAAATTGCACAAGCAAGTCCTATTGAGGTTTGTGCAGCTAGAGTGCCAGAAGAGGAAATGAATTTAAAAAAGCTATATGCAACCATAAGCCCAGAAAAGTAAATTGGAAAAACAAGGCTGTGTGTATAAAAAACACCTCTGGTATGGGCCAGGGGGGAGGAGCTGGTAGCCCCGGAGTGCATACAGGCTCTACTGCTCCATGCCATCCACTCTCCAGCTCATCTGGGGTGGAGACAAATGAGGGCTGCCCTGGAATACTGGTGGTGGCCAGCCATGAAAAAAGATGCTTTACAATTTTTCAAAAGATGTGTGACATGTGCACAAGTGAATGCGGGTAGAAGGAAAAAGGTGCCTCTGAATCACCAACCACGACCAGAGGGACCGTGGCAAAATTTGCAAATTGATTTTACTGGACGCTTGCCACAAAGCAGAGGGTACACTTACATTTTGGTAATTATTGACACTTTTACCTGATGGGTAGAGGCATTCCCAACCAAGAACTGTACTGCTACAACAGTGACTCGAATCCTAGCAAAAGAAATAATACCCAGATGGGGTTTGCCACTGTCAATAGACTCTGACCAAGGAACTCACTTTACAGGGCGAGTAATGAAGGAGGCATGCAAGGCACTGGGAATAAAGCAAAGATTCCATATACCATACCACCTTGAAAGCTTGGGAATGGTGGAAAGAATGAATAGAACAATGAAAACAGCCTTAACAAAAGCAGTACTGGATACAGGAGAAGGATGGGCTCGTATGCTTCCTGCTGTATTGTATCGAATCATAGGCAGCCCAAATAGGCTGACTCAACTGACACCCTTTGAGCTAATGACAGGAAGAGTAATGAGAATGCCTAGCACTGTGATCCTCCCTGCGGGGGGGTCAGGGCTTTTTGCAGACAGGCTGCAGAACTACATCAAGGCATTGGACAGAGAGTTAAAGGATTTATACAACCAAGTGAAGGAAAATCAAACCCAGCTGGATGATGATAGCAGTTTGAACAACCTTGCATTTAAAGTTGGGGATTTGGTAATGTGTCACATTTACCCAGAGGTTAAAGGAATTTTAAAGCCAAGATGGCAAGGTCCTATGAGGGTCCTTCTGACTATTAATACATGTGCAAAGATTGGGGGAACATTGGGAACGTTTTGGAGTCACCAAAGTGAGTTAAAATTGTTTGAATAAGCATCTGTCAATACTAACAATGTTTCCACAGATGTCTCCACAGGTGAACAACAAGAGGTGAAGGAGGAAGGACTGAAGGGTGACCAGGACAACCAGAGCGACCATGGGGAGGCTCCTGCTGTCCCAGTGGTGCATGAGGAAGGATACCAGTAGTGTGCCATGTGAAAAGGAGGACTGGGAATGGGTCACTAACCCCCCTCCTCCGGGTTTGCTTTGCTTTAATTGCCGCACTAAGGAAACACAGCTTTTGCAAAACACGTGCAGTGGCCAATAAACAAATCTGTCTAGAAGTAAAGGTGGCACTGTGGTTAGGATATGAGCACACAGCGGAATGTAAGAAGGTCCAAATAAAATCATACACTGATGCTCATAACAACAGGGAGGCTAGTAACATTACAATTTTGATAACAGCTGACTGCCCTGTTATCCACTGGTGTCAGGTACCAGAGATGGAGTTTCATGGAGGCATTTGGAAGGAATCATGGAAGTGTATGAGCTACCCCTTTGAGCAGACAATGTTGTGGCCCTCTTAGAGTGACAGTGTCTATACTTAATGCAATCAGTGTCCAAATTACCTTTAAAAGGGGACAGCTGCATACTACTAGTGAAGGGGACTACAAAGTCTTGAGCAATTGATTGATAGGCTTATTAAATGATGGTTCTGCATTTGAATTCTGTTGATTGATAGCTGTAAAGTACCTTTCCCTGGTCCCTCCCTGAAATCATGTCCATTTTAACTTCTCCAACTTTATGCCAAGTGAAGTCACATTTCTGTTAAGTTTAGTGTATTTCAATTTGGGCTGCCAAAACATAAGACAGAGGCACCTTCAAAAACTTATGAGTCTGCCTAGGGGAGCTGGGTTTAGATTTCATCTGTTGAATTTGCTAGAACGGTGCTTTTACTACAATTCAGTCTACTTTGAAAAAGGGGTTTGCCATACTCCATCTTCCTGTTTTTCTTTTCATCACAGAGGAGTTAACACCATATTACCTGTTAACTATTTTAAGACAAATTTTGGAACAATCACAACACACATGGAAAAAAAAAGCCTTTTCCTTTGTATTGTCTTCCAAGTCACAGAATATTTTAATGGTGTGTAGTCCAGTAGCCAGAAATAAAGGGCAGATTCTGAACTCAATTACACTGGTGTAAACCCAGGACAACTTGCTGGGTTCAATGGAATTTCTCCAGATTTATACCAATGTACCTAAAATAAGAATCTGATCCTTAGTATCTAAATCTCACCCCATTTTCTCTGTTAGCAATCTACTAAAGTCCTGTTCCCAGACATGCTATAGTAGTTAAGGCCAAGAACGTTTTCATTCCATGGTAATTTTAGAGACAGAAAATATTTCCATGCTGAAGCTTTCAATAAAAAAATTAGCTAAATTTGGTAAAATATGGTTAAGTAATTAAAGAAACTGTCAATCTCTATTTTCAAAAATAATTTTAGACTTCAAACTCTGTTTTACCAATAGTCCTTACAGAGAAAAAAATCTGATTGTTAAGAAAAAACAATTTGGAGATATCCATATTAAAAAATTGCATATTGTGCATGTCCATCCATTGTCAATATAGTTCCAATAAGCCATGCACATTTCAGTACCCAACATTCCATCAGTTATCAGGTTAACACAAATCTTTCATATTGAAAGAGAAGACACATGTTCTACCACAATTTTAGACTAATATGAATAATGGTGATAAGGTTTCCCATGGTATGTTTTGAAAGATTTTAAATGCATCTCAAGGCTATCCCATGGTCAGATGAGAGGGATAAAACCTCAGGTATAAAGCACATTTATAATATCCATTGTAGAACCTGAACACTTAACTAGAGTTGAGCAGTGCTCAATATTTTTGGCCAGCCACATGAATTCTCAACTAACCACTGATCTGTACGATCATAAACTTAGTAGTATACCCAAAACCAAATAGATGCAGAAATGTATTCTAGAATAAAATTATGAATGCAGAGGTAACTCAATTTCAGGATTGGAGGGGAGGATTTAACTATTTCTTTCATAGTAGCTAGCAGCTTAGCAGCAGATGTCAGTGATATTGATTCCTCTGCTTTACTTTAGTAATTAGAGCTACCACTTGGGGAATTAAAGGTTCTAGGTTCAGGCTTCATCTGGAATGGATTCTTCATAAGAGGGAAGACATCAGATGACAGTAATTCTCAGACTTTCGTTTTACCTTCCTAAAACATGAAGTGGAACAATCCTGATTTTTCCACTCATCTAATTTGTTCTTGTCAAATGCACTTACCCATATTTTATGTTTATGAAACCTTTGTATTCTCCTTTACAGATTTACAGGCACATGTAAAAAAAGCACCATCAAAGATGGTTGAAAGGTTGAATGTATGGTCAAGATCATTTTTGCTTAAATGTGCAAGCTGGACAAATCTTGGAAAAGCAGAGACAATGCCCCAAAGGCAAGATGACCTTTTTGAGAAAAATGTCATCCAAAGAAATTGAGTCTCTCATGTTAAAGCCAGCTTTCCCCTTGCTTTGCTCTCTAATTCCCAACTTCCTCAGACTTTAAATAGATTTTTTTTTTTTTTGCTTTAAATTTCCTAAATTTAAGGCTGGGATATTACAGTTACAAAAGCCAGGAAAATAAGATTTAAGGTTTATACTGCTGTTTTAGCCATAACCATCTGCAGGTATGATATATTAATAATACTTAGCCCTTTACATTTTCAAAGTACTGTACAAACTAAACCTCACAACACTCCCAGGAGCTTGATAAGTTATCCCCATTGTACAGATGGGAAAACTGAGGTAGATGAAGTGACTTCCCTAACGTTAAACAGCACGTCAGTGGCAGACCTGTGACTGGAACTCCATTCCTGACTCCCATCCCCGTGCTAATTCCTCTAACCTGATGCCTTGTGGTGTGAAAATTCCCTATCAAGATCACATAATGTGGCAATACAACATATTGATGAACAAATATTAAGTTTACAAATATGGGTTAAGTATGTGAAAACAAAAAAATAAAAAGGGAGCGGGGAACATAACTTGGTGTGAGTGTTTGGCCAGTTAGGAAGTGAGACTGGATTAACATAAAGGCTAACAATAATTACATTTTCTTGCAAAATTTAAAAAATATTGACAGCATGTTTATTGAAATAATGGGGACAAATATACAAAATGCCTGACCATAGAGAGCTGCAGAAAATTAACATTTCTGTCTCTTTTGCAGAAGGGAATTAAGATTAGCCTTAAATGAAACAGTGCTGTTGTTGGGCTGATGTATCTTTTTCCAATACTTCCCCAGTTCACATAGTAACCCAACATATTTATAAGAGTTTGTGAGGTATTTCCACATTTATATGGTCTGGGAGGAAAACCAGGATTAAAACGTCCATTTTATTTTGGCCTACAGCTAAAGTTGGAGGCTAGACCTACCCTAGCTTACTTACTGGATGAAGAGCAGCATGTTTTGGTGGGACAGAGAAACTAGAATCCTGAGTGTACTCGGTGATTTGAGGGGGAAAAGGTCCAGAGGTCTTCTCTGAATAAATTAAGTTTTGGGGCATGCTAAATATCACCCAGTAATTAAGTATATTTAAGATCTAAAGGCTATACATTGGTATCTAGGAAGTGTTTTCCTTTGTATGGGTGACTGAACCAGTAATTCTTCTCTTCTAGAGTAGATAGAAGGTTGAGATTTGTGCCAACTGCAATACTTCTCCTGGATAATCCAGGCCTGGAAAAGTACAATACCAAGGAAAAGTCTTTTTGGTCAGCAAGTCATCAAAAAGTGAAATTCCTCAAGGAAGACTAAAAATGCAGATGGATGTGACAACATAGTGTGGGGACAGAGGTGATTTCCAGTGTATGGTTTATGCAAGATCTGTTACTGCAAGATCTGGATATGTTTAATATGGATGCACATCTGTTTGTAGTTTGCACTGCTGCTGTAGGTGTGTTGGTCTCAGGATATTAGAGTGACAAGGTGGATGAGATAATATCTTTTATTGGACCAACTTCTGTTGGTGAAAGAGAAAAGCTTTGAGCTATACTGAGCTGAAGAAGAGCTCTGTGCAGTTCAAAAGCATGTCTCTCTCATCAACCGAAGTTGGTCCAATAAAAGATATTAACTCACCAACCTTGTCTCTCTGGTAACTGTTTATAGAACAAAAATGAAACATTTAAAAGTGGCCATAGGTCTCGATGACTGGAGCAAGCTAGGAGATATCTTACATACATTGATCCTAGGAAATAAGGATTCTTCAATTTTGTCCTGTTTAGGAATGTAGGCAGACTGGCACTCAAAAGTATATGTGGTGGAAATGTTATGTTTTTCTAGAATGTAGCCCTTTTACACATTATGTGTTTTCCGGGTAAAAATTAAGAGTTGAACAAAGCATAACTTATACTAAGGAAAAAGATGGGACACAATGTTTGCTGGGCTTCTACTAATGTATTTTTTTTTCCAAATCCAGATCAAGCAAATGTCGTTAGTTTCTGAAATATAGTCCTAATAATTCTATTATGGTGGCAATTTTTGTGCAAATAGTAGGCATGGAACATATTGTCTTTATCAAAAGGTTAGCCATTATACTTGATCATGTACAGAGATAGTTTTAAGATTGTGTTGCTAACCCTAGGTCTAACCAGGTCTGAGGCCAGCTAGACAACTTTTCTCCAATTTGTAATTCTCTTCTTGCCGCGTGCCAGTACCTTCTCTTCATGTTTTTCATATTTGTCAATAAGCTACAAAGAACATACTGTATGATCACTTTTGATATTGCATCCCACTACTTCCTCCACTGCATTACGTACGTTATGTTTAGTAAAAGAAAAAAAAGTTTTCCAAATACATTTAATCCTCAAGGGAGCAATTATACAAAGTATCTTATTTCAGCAGTATAAAAAGTTTTCCATTGTTAGAAAAATGGGGTGGTAGCAAAAGAAATTAATAATTTGGCAAATATACATTCTACTATTGGTAGATAACTGTAGATTAGTAAGAGCCTAGAACACACAAATAATCAATTGCAGCAGGAACTTTAATTTTCCCCTACTTCCTTCTGAGCATTTGTTCTTCCAGATTCCAGTGCAGACATCTGAGCTTCCATTTAACAATTCATTTTCTCTGGACTAACAGTTCTTTATCATATTAGTCAATGAAGCCGTTCTAATTTAGCCTGTAGGGATTTAAAATTCCCAATAGTGGTCTGCACTGTTAGCGTAGGGCTCATAGATTGAAGTTCAACAAGGTAGCAACTGACAGCATCCAAACATACATTTGTGAATCGTCGTCTGTAAAGAAGAAAAAAAGTTGTCAAGAAAACTCATTTTGGCTTTCGTTTATTAAAATTCATGTAAGAAAAGGAAGTGGGATTCCTTCAGATAGTAATGGAATAATCTGTAAACAACAAAAACCCAAATCAGCTAACTTTAAATTTTCTAACATATAGTTAAATGAAAAGCAAATATTTTAAATCTAATGTTTGTGACTGAAGCATACAGGGGAACTTGTTAAATCATTTCTATTAACCTGAGTTTTAATAGTTGCAGCAATTCAAAAACCAAAGTTGTAGCTCTTGTCAGCTCAGGAGTGAAATATTTGTTTGAATCATTTCTAGTGTTTTTATCTAATAGCAATAAATAAATTTAGAAGTACCCCTTCACAAGGGATGCCTCAGAAGGACTATGCTGACTCATTAGGAAACAATGTTATTTTGCAAAACAACTAGTTTTATTCAGTGAAATTTGTGAACATGAATGTAAAATTTGTAAAGAAAAGCACATTTACATATACAAAATGGAATAGAAAAACTGAAAATAATTAGATATAAACATGATTCAACAGCAGGAAGGAGAAGCCTAAAATTAAAAATATGCTTTTCTTATTTTATTCATTCAAGTGAAATTCTATGCTTGTAAAAGGCTGCTGGATTGTCAGTCCTGGAAAACAGTCCTCATTTCCCAGAATGGGCATTGCATGGACAGATTTACTGCAAGCTTCCCTCCACTGTCCTGCCGATGTTCCTGAACTCTGTTCCAAAGGAACTATTTATGTGCTAATAAAGTTTGCGGATGACATGAAGCTGGGAGGTACTGCCAATACAGAGAGGGACCGGGATATCCTACAGGAAGATCTGGATGACCTTGTAATCCGGAGTAATAGTAATAGGATGAAATTTTATAGTGAAAAGTGAAAGGTCATGCATTTAGGGATTAACAACAAGAATTTTTGTTATAAACTGGGGATGCATCACTTGGAAGTAACAGAGGAGGAG